TGCACTTTGAGCTTTGCACTTTCGTCGACCTCAACACTGCGGAACCAAAGAACGAGATGGTAAATGCTGGAACTATTCTGATAGAAGCAGCACACGCAGCCTCCCGGAAGGGCAAGAGAAGGGAGCTAACGAATTTACACTTAGGTTGAATTAGGTAGCGTGGCCAGTAGATAGATGAATATAACGCTTCACAATTTATATCGTAGTTCGCATACGTAAGCTTAGCAAATAGACGAGTTCTGAGAGAAATGCTGATACCCAGAACACTTTGTAGAAAGAAATTGAGAGAACAAAGTCAATGACAAGAGGGAAACTAAGCTAAAATGATTCAACAGTGGCCAGCATCGAATCAGCTGAGTCAGCGAGCTTTCACGAAGGCTAAAATGCTGCGACAGGAAAGAAGATAAATAAAGCAACTGATAGGAATTCATAAGAAATGACTACGGATTGGTGAAAATGCAAATAAGTGATAAAAATAGTGATACAAGTAATACTACCAAATTGAATGTTGATAATATGGTAAAGCATGGAAGAATATGAAGCATATAACACAGAAATATCAATACACATATATTCTCCTAAAGGAGAGAGAGAGAGAGAGAGAGAGAGAGAGAGAGAGAGAGAGAGAGAGAGAGAGAGAGGGAGGGAGGGAGGGAGGGAGGGAGGGAGGGAGGGAGAGAGAGAGCGAGAGAGAGAGAGAGAGAGAGAGAGAAAGAGAGAGAGAGAGAGAAAGAGAGAGAGGGAGGGAGGGAGGGAGGGAGGGAGGGAGGGAGAGAGAGAGCGAGAGAGAGAGAGAGAAGGAGAGAGAGAGAAGGAGAGAAAGAGAAGGAGAGAAAGAGAGAGAAAGAGAAATAGAGAGAGAGAGAGAGAGGGAGGGAGGGAGGGAGAGAGAGAGAGAGAGAGAGAGAGAGAGAGAGAGAGAGAGAGAGAGAGAGAGAGAGAGAGAGAGGGAGAGAGAGAGAGAGAGAGAGAGAGAGAGAGAGAGAGAGAGAGAAGGAGAGAGAGAGAAGGAGAGAAAGAGAAGGAGAGAAAGAGAGAGAAAGAGAAAAAGAGAGAGAGAGAGAGAGAGAGAGAGAGAGAGAGAGAGAGAGAGAGAGAGAGAGAGAGAGAGAGAGAGAGAGAAGGAGAGAAAGAGAGAAGGAGAGAAAGAGAGAAAGAGAGAAAGAGAGAAATAGAGAGAGAGAGAGAGAGAGAGAGAGAGAGAGAGAGAGAGAGAGAGAGAGAGAGAGAGAGAGAATAGAAACAGAGATAGAAGAAAGAGACAGAGAAAGAGACAGAAAGAGAGATACGACAGACCTAGTTTCTCCTCAAACTGTAAACAAGAGTTAACGAATATTAACGCTCTTTCTGCATCTTTCCTTTACGCGTATTTATCGCTTCCGACTTCTTTCCAACTGCAAACACCATTTTCGTTTGAACTTCTTTAAATAGTTTCTTATTCTTGATCAAACGATTTCACTCTCCACTCCCGGTCACAAAAGGAGAAGAACGGAGATACAAAAAAAAATAGTCGACGAGAAAAATGTGCTAAAGACAGAGAAAGAGGAGACTGAGATAATAATAATAGCATGCAAATGAGTGGAAATAAAAGTAAAGGAATAGAAAAGAAATATATATATATGAAAGAGAAAAAAAATAATACTTGTCACGCAAGGATAAGCTGATGTAACAAACATTGTGGTTTACGATGATCTTTGATACAAGCTACATTTATGACCGCTGGCGTTCTTTTAAAGACTAAAATATGATTCTATTAGCATGAAAGCGATAGCTTCACATTAATCATAATAAAGTGATATTTACGATTATGGTGATGACAGTGCTGCTGCTGTGATGAAAATGAAAGTAATAGTGATGGTGATAATAATAGTAATAATAAACGGTATTCAAATTATAATAACACCTTCAGCAAAACAGAGCATCACGACCAGAACACCTTAACGCCACCGGAAGGTCAGGCCAAGGTCAAGGTCAGGGACCCTCCTTCGCACCCCCCCCTCTCCCCTACGCCCCAAGTCCAAGGCTCCGGCGTGATCATCAGTCCCGAGACAGGAAGCTCCTCGTGCTGGGTCATCTCCTGCCTGACGTAGGGTCGCGGGAGGCCGGTCTGGACCTACGGACCCGTTGTCCAGAAAACCGACGTGGCAGCCATCCAAGTCGCCATTGGTTCGCCAGGACGGGGGTGGGGGAGGGGGAGAGAAGGGGGAAAGGGGAGGGAAGGGGGAAAGGGGAGGGAAGGGGGAAAGGGGTGTGAAGGGGGATGGTGTGTGTGTGGTGTGTAGAGTGGGAGAGGGGAAGGAGGGTAAGGCATCGGGAGATAGGGAGTAGAGGTGGAGGGTTGGTTAGGGTAGGGGCGGAGGGGAGAGGGGTGACTTAATTAATGTTATACGGTAGGATACGCATTTCATCCAGGGTGATCCTACGATGGGGGTAGGTGGGGATGTGGGGCGGGAGGGGGGGGGGGCAAGGGGAGGTGATTGAATGCTACACGGTAAGATAAAACTTTTTTTTTCTATTGCTGTCTATCGTTTGGATGGATATCAATTTAGTGTCCACGATAAGCCAGAATATACAGTGCGATAACAGTGGCTTTATGTTGCAGTAGTTAGAGTAGCTATTGGACGTTATCGTAAAAGCAGAATGACATGATTCCCTATAAAGACAGACTGTAATCATATGACCAATAAACCCTATCTCCCTCTGTAATCGATACAACACAATAAGGATAATAAATTGCCTCCACTAAGTATACGTATAGGAAATCCACGACTTCAAGATGGGAGAGCAAAGCAGAATGGAACATCTAATGCAAAAAAAACTCACTTACCCGACCTTTAACCTTTAACTTGGGCTTAAATAAAGATCCCAGAGGAACCAACAACAATCACAACATGAGACTCTTACATTACATCACCAATCATGAGAAAAGCCGCAGGTCTTATGCGAAAAAAAAGTTAATGACACAATTATCTAAATATAACTAAGCTATTCCT